GTGACTTCCTTCTCTAGTTATTGGATTCACAAGATTTTCAAAAAACCTTGTGACCTAACACTAACCCTTGATGTTCAAGTCACTGAGATCTGAACTTGTCTGAGATTTTTAGTAGCTGCACCTCTGGCATTATTTTGTAAATCCTATATTGCCTCTTTCTCACGTTGTTTCACAAAGTTTGTTGTCCACCCTGATCGGCTATTGTCAGCCTGCCCCCCTCTGTCTTTCATTGCTAAGGGGTAAAAAACAGAAATTAGTTCTTTCCCCTGTCCTTTCAATGAGGGAACTAATTAAAAAACACACAGTAGAGGGCGCTATCGCAGCATATGAAATACAGGCGCAACTGGGAGGCGATGATGACCCTACCTGTCTGTCTTTTTACAACACTGCTGCTCTCTCAGCTTCTAATTATGAACCCAAGTCGTGAAATGTTGTCAGCTTCACCACGACTGCTGTCACATCTCAGAGTGGGACGCTTCAAATCAGAGAAACAACAGCACACAAAGGTGTGTTTGTCTGAATTTAATAAGCGCCGTGCTCTTTTCCATACCCTTACACATTCATCTCTGTGCATTCTGAAACTCAGTCAGCACACACTCGAGACCCGCTCGTGTGGAAACAGTCGCTGTCAGCATGAGGTCTGCGTTCATTTGCGTCACACATTTTTCCATGCGATAATGTCTTTCATGTGTTTAAAAGTCTGCGCTGCTAATGGAGTTTTGACAAAAACTAAACGAGGTGGCCTACATGTGCTGCGATGGAGTGCACAACTTGAGCAGGTTTCAAGAATGTGCTCAGATTTTCATATCAATCAGAAATGAATGGAACCTACGGGAAACCAGAAACATGCCGAGTTTTGGGAAAATGGGCTTAACAGTACCCAATTCCTGCTTTTAAAAAAAACAAAGATTTAAGCACTGCTGATATACTGGCATCTGGGACGAGTGATGAACCGAAGGCATGCCTTGCTTTTGTTCTTTGTGTCCTAAATCAAACATTGCTGCAAACCATAAAACGGAGACAAACACAAACAGCCAAATCTGACACGCTCCGTCCCCGAGAGATGAGAAAACTGCAGCAAGAGCTGGAGAAAAAAAAAAAAACACCCGTCATCACACCCATAATTTGCTGTCATCCCTCCAAGTGAGAGTTTTGTTCTCATGGCAGAGTCTGACACTTCATTTCTGATGATCTTTGTGTTTCTCATTTGTAGGGTGGGGACATTTTCTCTGGCAGCCAGGGAGTGACGATCATGCAGCCATCATCTCTGCTTTCCTGGGACTACACCAGGCAGGCCTTGGACACACACACACAGACACAGGCTGTGTGTGCGCAGACGTTCGTGTTTCCATGACTTCAGTGGACATCATTTGCCTTTCACTGAGTTCATGTGGCTTTACCCTAACCTGAAGCAGGAACTCCAGCAACACTTGAGGGAAGACGAACAACTTTAATAATAGACCAACG